CGTCTCAGCGCCGCCGGCTACAACATGAGCCCTAGGACCGTGACCCTCCCCAACCCCCGCTTGTGCGCGTGCATAACGCCTCTCGCCATCTCTCATGCTCTGTTACCATGAATCAACGAGTGTGGTCTGATGCGGACCCTCGCCGCTAGCCACTCTTCCCTAGTCTAGCTCCGCCTATTAGCTGCTCCTTGCTAGCACCACCACACCATGCCTGACTGTGCTTTCCATCCTCCGTGCGGCCGCCACGAAATGTTAAAACCTACTCAATTTGTTAGAATGATTTGAGTACCATTGTGAGACAATAAATGTTGAGTGTACAACTATCATTGCATAGTTTTTTTAGTACACAATAGAAACGCAGGCGCTCATATATTCACGCGTACACTCACTCCATGAACACACACGCACACTCTACCCTTATGAGCATTTCTGAGAGACTGACCTGACATATTATATTGCGATTGTCGAAGTCCCCACAGGCGCCTCGTGCTTGATAGAAACGTCTCCTCCTACTAAACGCACATGGCCGGAAATCCTGAAATATATATAAAAAAATGCGAGCGCTAGGACTTGAAGCCTGGTGGGCTGGAGATACGACTGTTCTCCTAACCGTCCAACCACAGATACGTTCACACTACCATTGCATAGTTGTATACTTGGTTCTAAAGAAGAAGAAAATGTTAGGACGACATATTTTAATGTGGCTAAGACTTTCTTAACTAGATATATAGTAGATCTGAGGCAAAAGAAATTGTATATATGGTCAAAAGAACGAAAGGTAATTACAATCTCTGATACTACCTCCGTCTAGGTGAATAAGTCATTCGCGTAGTTCTAGATCGTCGATTTGAGGAATTAAATATGTGTCATATGTCATGAAAAGTATATCACTAGATTTCTACACGGATGTAATTTCTATATATATATATATTATCATATATAATACATATTTAGATAGTTAAATCGTCAATCTAGAACTACGCGAATGACTTATTCACCGAGACGGAGGTAGTAGTAGTACTACGAGGTGTTTATAGGACAGAATGGTCTGTAGACTGTATATGGTCTGAAGGAGTGCGTGCGGAAAAGCCCTGAAACGCGAGCGCCGGAGTGCAAAACAGCCCCAGATATCGGAGCCAAAAAGCGAGTGCGGGAGGGGGAGGACGAAGGAAGCAACGCCGCCGCTCGTGTGGGCCCCACCCGGAGCGTGGAGCGGCACGTAGCGCGGGCCCCGCGGCGAGGAAGACGACGCATCGCGATCCGTGCGTCCCGAGCTGGGGTCAGGCGCGGGGGGCGCAGCATCGGCATCAGCATCAGCAGCGCACGGAGCAGGCGCGTAAAGAAAGACACGTGGGCCGCGGCGGCCACCACCTCCACCTCCCCGCGCTGGCGCCCTATCCAGCGCACGCCTGCCCGCGGTAACGGTTCGTCAACTCTGGCTCACCGCGCCGCGCGGGGGAGGGGAGGAACCGTGTCGTGTGGGGAAGCTGGGTGCCGCAAGATACGCTGCTGGTGGACAGGCAGGCGCCCCCCTCCCTCGCCTTTTGATCGGTCTTCGTGCGGGGGAAAGCGCGGGTTGCTGTTGCGAAAAGTGGACCGAATTTTGTGGAGCTCCTTTCGGCGAGATGGACGCAGGCTCCGCTGCTTGAGTAGTCCTCGCCTCTCCAATGGCGCCATGGACGAACGACCTTTTCTCGACGCTTCGTGGCATTATTATTTCGTCCAGATCTCCGACCCCGCCGGCTACAGTTCTTGATCCCTCCTTTTTAACCCGACGGAACATACTGTACTGTGTACTGCTTGAACCTGGGTGGCAAGAAGGCTTCAAAAAGTGGAGCAAACGATGGAATTTGTGGGGATGTGATTCACTAGTGTGGTAGTAGGAGTATTTTATTCCTACTATATCCTACGCGCGCACCCTGCGACAGCATTCTTATCGGGTCGATCTCAACACGTTGAATATTCACGACGGGCGCAAAAGCGGTACCCCGATCCGGCGATCCCCGGTGAACACGACGGACGAGCTACTTTTGCGCTGCATGGCGGGCGTCACACGCACGACGAAAACAACCGGGCGCACTGAATTTGTCTTGGCGGGACGCGGACGGCGGCGTTAACGGAGCGACGGGCGCGGTCGACCAGCCCACATGTCGGCATCAGCCGGCTGCGCGGGCGTGCCGCCCGGATCGCGGTGCCGTGCCGTGGGGTAGGCACCCACCACACCATGCCGCCCGCACCGCTGGTCTCTCTCTCTCTCTCTCTTGTTTCGAGGCGCACCACCACCCACACGCCCAGAGCCACGGGCAGGCGCGCACGCGCCGGGTGCCCGCGGATTGCGTGATGCCGCCGCGCCGCTTCCATCACACGCTTGCGGCAGCCGCACTGCCACTTTCTGGCGGGCGGGCGGGCGGACGGGCGAATTGCTGGGCGCACCCCGCGGAGCATGTAGCAGGCACCGCCGCTACCGTCCAATTTATGGCTTGGATAGGACCGCGGGCCGTTGGCAGCTCCTTGCCGACGCGGAGATCCCACTGCTACCAACGAGGCCGCTCTGGTTCAGTGCTGCGTGCGTCTTGGACGTGTGTTCCAGAAAAGCGTTTGTTTTATTTTTAAGAGGAACTTAAACTTACAGTCACATACAGGGTGCTTGGATCCGAGAGACTTATTTTAGTCTGACTAAAAATAGTCTTTTTAAGAGTCTAAAATTTCAAGCACCCCTAACTAAAGAGAGACTAAAATTAGTCTTGAAGGTAACAAACGCCTAGGACAAACAGCTCGGGAGTGTGAACAGTAGCCAAAGAACCGTCCCTTGGCCTCCGCGTCGCTCCCGCAGGGGCGACTCGGGCGTCGCTAACCCTAGCCGCCGCCAGCCCCCTCCCCCTTCTCCTCTCCCTCGCCACCACCGAAGGGGGTCGCCGGAAAGCCGCGCGTCCTCCGGGGAGGGTGGTGGCGAGGATCTGTCCGCCTGTTTCGCGCAGGGGCTCTGTAGCCGGGGCGGCGGCCTCGGGTGGTGGTGCGTCGTCGTCTTCAACTCGTGGCGTCGCTGGTGCTGG